ACTCTGACGTAAATCTAAACGAAGGCTGGGACGCACCTTGGCCGAATCAATTTGCAAACGAGGTATCATTGACTCATCAAAAAAAACGAATAACTGCCGACCTCCCATCGGTCGGCATTCTCCAACATTTGACAGCTTCACCTCTCTGCGGACTCCTAGAGACCGCGACACTGGCCTGCTTGTATACAAATGCTCAGGGACTTTCTAACAAACTGGCTGAACTGAAAGATCGCCAAGCTTCCGGCTCGTATGATGTCATTGGTGTCACCGAGACATGGTTGCACACGGGGATGACGGACGCTGAAGTTTCGGTACCCGGCATGTCGCTGATCCGGAACGATAGGCTCACAAAAGGAGGAGGGGTAATCCTGTACTACCGAAACGACTTACATTGCAAAGCCGTGGAGGATTCAGATTCGCAGTTCCCCGACTCTCTTTGGTGCCGGTTGCAGTTAAAAGGCAGGGACGCTTGCCTTATTATCTTGGTGTACCGTGCCCCTAACTCAACAACCGAAACCGACTACCACCTAATAGCTGCTTTAAGGTGCAGTTTACAACAAAAGTACACTCACATTCTTATCATGGGTGATTTCAACGTACATTGTTTAGAATCCCCTGCCACGACCGGAGAACAATTCAAAACCGATTTACAAGATCTAGTAACTACTGTTCCTCTTTACAACCACATCAATTTGCCCACTCGGTTCAGAACTGGTAACACGCCATCTGTGCTGGATCTTGTGCTTACCAACGAGGAGCATATGATTGATGCATTGGTTTTAGACTGCCCGTTGGGTCGCAGTGATCACGCAGTCATCAGTTTCAAATTCGTCTGCTATGCAGAATATCTGAATGAAAACGATGAGACTGTGCGAACCATCACAAGGTACGACCGACTCGCCCAGCTAGTCAGCGCCACAACATGGTCTTTCCTCGAAGAAGAACCCCCGGAAGTCGCCTGGCTCGAGTTCGTCAACACATTCAGTCAGCTGATTGCACAGACTTCGGAGATAAAAGCTTGCAATGAGTGCAAATCCGTTTCTTTCGTTAGGAGCAGAACCCGAAAATGGATGACAGTACGCAACGCAGCATGGCGAGTGTACAGAGAAGTTGCAGCACCAGAAACGTGGGACAACTACGTAGCCCAACGTAACAGCTGCACTCAACTGTTAAGAGAAGACAAAGCTGCCTATCAGCAGAACATCACAAAAACCTTCAGTGCTAACCACAAGCTGCTGTACAAGCACGTTAATAGCCTACGAAAGGTGAGGCAAGGATTTCCTCCACTCAAGACAGCTGATGGCCCAACAAGAACGTCTATGGAAGCTGCAAACGCGCTGCAGATGCAATACGCCCCCACGTTTCAAAGGGTCTTGCCACCAAGCGATCTACCAAGCTTTGTATTCTGCTCACCAGGACTAACCCACATCAATTTTACCGCAGAGGCTGTATTGCAAAAGCTGACTTCTCTACGCAAACAGCTCGCCGGGTGTCAAAGCAATTAGTCCTGAGGCATTGGGAGCAGCAGCAAACCACCGGCAGGACATTTAGCTCAGTTTTTTCAGCACTGCTTAGACCAGAACCAAGTTCCCGCCATGTGGAGGCTTGGAATAATAAGCCCGAATCACAAAGGTGGAAGCAGAACTGATCCTTCCAACTACCGCCCAGTAACCCTTCTTCCTATACTCTCCAAGGTCATGGAATCCATAGTTGCCGATGCACTGGTGTGCTATCTGGAAAACTGCAAACTCATCACTGCTGAACAGCACGGTTTCCGTCGACAGCGGTCATGTACAACTAATTTACTAATGGCACTCAGTGGTTGGACCGAGGCAGCAGACGCTGGAGAAGGTGTTGATGTGATCTACCTGGATTTTTCCAAGGCTTTCGATCGCCTAGACCATCGGATACTACCATCCAAGCTGCAGCATTACGGGATCGGCGACCCTCTTTTAAACTGGATCGCCAACTTTCTATTTCGAAGGCAATTATTGGTCAAAGTTTGCAGCTCTTTATCGGACCCCATACAAGTTGAGTGTGGTGTGCCGCAAGGCTCGGTTCTAGGTCCACGTTTGTTTTTGGTGTTCATTAATGACCTTGCACAGGGAATCGCTTCAAACTTCCTAATGTTTGCCAACGATATCAAGATCTGGCGCAGGATCCAGGCGAACACCGACCAACATGTGCTCCAAAGTGACTTAGATACAGTGTATCAATGGTCGATCCAAAACTTATTGCATTTCAACGTCAGTAAATGCAAGGTGCTTTCCATCCGACATCAAAGCAGCTACTCATACCGACTCGGAATGGATGTACTGCAACAATCAACTCTCGAACGTGACTTGGGTGTCCTGGTTCAAGATGACTTGGGTTGCTCCAGGCAATCCGAAAAGGCCTCGAAGACCGGGAACCAACACGTTGGGCTGTTGAGGCGGGCGTTTGGACAAATAAACAGCTCCATATTTCGACAAATGCTCAGTGCGTATGTTCGCCCCCATGTCGAATATGCAATTCAAGCCTGGCATCCATGGCTGAAACACGATCTTAATGCACTGGAACAGCCACAACGCCGGGCATCTAAGAACGTGATTGGAATGCGCAATCGATCCTACCTGGAGAGGCTGCGACGACTAGGATTGTTCAGTGGCAGCTATCGCAGGCTACGAGACGACCTGATTATGACACACTTGATTCTGCGAGACCCACATCATGTGTGCCGCCCTTTACTGCAACTCAGCAGCAATACAAACCTGAGGGTCCACTCATTAAAACTCACAGAACAATACAGTCGTCTGGAGTGCCGCAGGAATTTCTTTTCCATCCGAGTCTGTCACCCGTGGAATGCTCTCCCAGAATCGGTCGTTTCTGCCCCGACACTAACAATATTTAAAAGACGGTTGGACGATGCACTCATCCACTTACACTTTGTTACTTAACACTATGTCTCCATCCTACACCTGGAGTTTACCCTAGAATTTTTTGTTGTTATCTGTGGGTGTTGTGAATCTAAGTGGATTGCAGGACTGCAGCGAAGCAAACGATAAGTCCTTATTTTCGTATTTAAAGTGTTAACTATTTTGCTATCCTTTTCATCATAATTATTATGTTGATATCCCCACCAACTATCCAACGGGGCTTGTAAAGCAACGCTTCTTAACCCGTATAAATTCATTGTTCATTGTTCATCACATTATGGAAGGTTTCCGAAAGTTTATTGACGTCCAATTAGCGTTGGAATACTCCTCCGGCAGAGTTTACTGTTCTTCAGCTCGGTAGCAAATTTACCGAATATCCTCGGAGCGAATAAAGCTTTTGCAACTCCATTGAACCGACATACGTAAAACTATAACGATTACAATGATAATTAATATAGCCGCCATGTTCAATAATGTTCAGTATTGGTTTTGATATGCTGATTGATAAATTTAAACTTTAGCAACTGCGATGCAACCAGTCGAGGATTAGATCAAATGGAATTCATCGAATTCCCAAGTAATAAAATACAAATTGGCATAAGTTATCTGTGTTATGCGAATAAATTAGTGAATTCTGATATTGGATTTATATCGTACCCAGGCTACTGGGTCGTTTACTCACTGTGCGCAGTAGAATAAATCTAGGCTAGGTATTTTAGGCAAACTTAAGTGTAATTTAAACGGTTACCTTTGTGGAGTACCAGCTTCGTATTATTTTAAAACAAATAAGTGGTATATTCTCGACAACTTGAGACACTCCTTCCTAGGCATGATCAGGATGAAGCCACACTAATAATCGGTAAATTTACACCAACCTTACAATTTCAACGGTAACAGTGAATGGGTCGTGTGAAGGTATATATAAACTTATGCGTGTGTCGAGGTTTTGTTTACACCTCTGGGTGTGCTGCTGTTTTGTGATTACATTTTATCACGTGGTTATATTGGGAAAGGTTAGGGTGGGGGAGAACAACTACAACATCCGAGTTGATAAATTACGTCCGTGCATCTGAAAAGATCGTTTGGAAAGGCAAAGAACAGCGTCTTTAGTTGGTGTCGAGTAACATCCGCCACGTCGAAATGTTTTAACCAGATATGGGTGGGTTCCTATTGGCAAAACCCCTGTCAGGCGGAAACCCACCCCTCTAGGATCACTGCCGCCTAACCGTTCGCTGTAACGATATTTAACAGAATCACCCAACTGGCATCACGACGGCAAATTAGTTACTGTAGGCTTAACGAGCAACTTAGTTGCAGCATCCAAACGCAGGTGTTTGCAAAATGTTTCAATTCAGCGACAGAATATACGCATCACTAGCTCTATTTTGTACTCCTGTTGATCACACCGCAATATTTGGCGAAAACAACAATTATTGACCATGGTAATATGCAGCTGGATTGTGACTATGGACTTGTCAAAATGTGTTCTGTCTTTTTGAGTAAATATCAATGCCATTTGGATTTCGCCAACGTACATTTAAGCCAATTAAAATTTTCAACCATACAAAACTGTTATGTGACACAAGTCGCCTCTACCTGTGATTTACTTATAAGTGGTTTCTGCGAGAGAGTTTAATCATATGTTTATATTCTGTTTTCGTCAAAGTCCTTAAGTAGCGATTAATACAAAAGCATATGCCGTCCGAGGGAAAAGACTTGATCCAGAAAAATGTTAGAGTTAAAACCATGTTCATGCTTATTGCAAATAATTATCTTACTGGTAGGAAGAGTGAAGTCCAATCCTTCTTAAATCAGTAATCAGCTCAACCTAACCGTTGCTATATCATTTGATTTGCAATTAGGTTGCGACGAATGCATGGAAGGTTTGTTGATCTTCTCATGTTCCCATCGAAATGCACTCTCCAAGAAAGATGAAAAAGTTAGCCTGACGTAAATGTACAAGTTTTATCCTAATGCTTGTTTTCGCAATCCATTTTTAACTTGGTATCTTTCATTTTAATTACAGTAATTAATCAAGTTAACGCTCCGGAGATTAGTCACGGCTGTCTCTTCGCAAACAATTTAATGGAAACAACCGAAGAGTTCTTTCGTCAGATACATCAACAACGCTTGCAGCACCCTGGGTGTCCGTTACCACAAGAAAGCTTTTACGTAGCTAATACGTCTGTTATAGACAGTCCGTGCCCATTTTATCGCAGAATGGAAAATCATCTACAAGGAGCATTTTTAATGCCCATCTCCCCGTCCTTAAGCACTCCTAACACCGGGACATTTTCGACGATGGCTTCAGGTCAACTATTGAAAAACCATTTTACGAAAGATTGCATAAGGGAGGTAAAACCTGCAGTAAACTCTGCGGTTTATAATGGCCCAAGTATAAAGCAAAATCCCAGTTCGGAATATTCTAGAGTTACGGCGACAGCACCATCCAATTTTCCTCTGAATTTGACCTGCTTGCACAGAGAAAGTGACAGGGATCTCAATAAGAAAAAATACTACACAAATATATTAGAAAACAAGGTTGCAGAAAATGAGGCTGGAATTTGTGAATCTTCCTTGGAAACGTCGTCGGAGATTTGTTTGCCTTCCATGCCGCGAAACTTCGAAAACTTCAATACTGATTCTCTACAGATCTACAATCCTTGTTACGATAAACGGGATGAATCAGGAGCCTCACACTTAAACTATTGCAAGCAACTTTTGTTAAATGACGCAGCAATATCCCAATACTGCGGTGCAGTGCGTCGAACATCAAACAAGAAATTGTCTCCAGCTTCCCTTTCTCCTCCAACCAGAACCAATGAGTCATCCAAATGCATTCACAATGTGCGTCATGTTCCAGTCAGCCCTAAACCGTTAACTGTAGAATGCGGTATCTCCGAGAGAACTGACATTAGTAATGCTTCAATTCCTTCTATGATTAATTTATCGCCAACCAAAGACCCGTCCAATATAGAACATCTGAAAATTTGTAATGACTCAAACGCCCAGTACACAAACAATGCAACAAAGGAGAAAAAAGCGAGTAAACTGCGCACAGCCATGTCATCACAAAGGATCGTCTCCGAAAATAATGAGCTCCGGAAGATGGATTGCAAGGATGCAGTGAAGTTTGACTTGCTCCATAGTGAGAAGGAGAAGGTTCCAATGCTACAGCAAAGGATGCAAAAGACAGCATTTTCTCAGACAATTCACCGACCAGCTGGTATTATTGAGGGCGTACTGCTCCATGCGGTGAGTTAAAATTGCCGGTATCTAAGGTAGAGTATAGGATCTAAGCGGACGAACTTGCTAGACAGTGGGGCAGCTTGATCCTTAAATTACTCGGTATGTACCAGATGATCGCGCACTCACATGCTCGTAAATATTTGGGCTAGTAAACATGCTTTGTGGTAAATTATCATGAGCGTGAGGCAAAGTCATGTTGATGGTATAACACAACAAGGCAGTATATATATATATTTGCATATACATGCATATATATGTGCTATTTTCCGCAGATTTACAGCCTACTAAAATATCACCAAAGCTGAATAAAATTTTGTTACGAAATTCACATATTTTTGCTGGCTTGCTTAGATCACTAGTATATCAAGGAAAATAACTTTAAAAGGTAATTTAGAAAACACAATTTTCTAGCATCATATTGTGAACGATGAATGTAAACAGAACCCCGAAAACAAATCAGATCTTAGCAGATTCTTTGTTAAAATATAACACATTAATAGATGTACAAAGTGAAAAAACCAACGGTACTATTCCCTACCACAAAAAATTGCTGTAAGCACAGCGAAAGCTGAATTCCGTTGACGTGATCTGGTCGATAAGTTAAATTACACGAATAAACGTTTAGACATGATGCGAATGCGCATACATTCGGGACTTTACAGGATGAAATCAAAAATGCTTATTATACAACATATTTAGAAGATAAAATAGGTAAAATTAATTCGATCACAACATGAAAGTACACCGTAAGGATATCCATAATTCTATACTTGAGCAATCGGCTAAATCAGGACACCAAACACAGGCAATTGGATCATCCCAAATCATCCCAAAACTCCTAAGGGCTCGAGAAAGGCCCATTAACAACAAACGAAGCCATCTTAATCAGGGTTCAGAAACCAGCTGCACAAACAGTGGACGCTGGTGCAAGTCTAGCTATTAACGTCGCCAGTAAAGCGCTCCGGCGAGACTTCCTCACTTTAAAAATGACAGGCGACCAACGTTTGTTTGTCTGCTCTCACTCACTGTGTGCGTTTTGTCCGAGCGGTCTGCTTCGACTGACTAAGATGTTTATGGATGACCGGCCATATAAATCCAATATGATGCGTAGCTGTCATAGTTTCTTCCAAGTTCACTAGATCATCGCGTTTCTTATTTCGCAAGTTTGTAAATGCTTGATGTGTTCTATAAAGTAGCATATTCTACCCGTAATTGTGAACTACAAATTAGTTTTGACAGTAGTATCCGGGTTAAACGCGATGGTGTACCAGTATGTGAGCTACACATGTAGCTGACTCGAATAATCAGTAATGGAATTCCTTCTGGAAGGATTCGCCGCGAGTTCAGTTTTACATTAAAACGCGATTAACAAAATTACTCATTCTGTTATTGCAGTGCCTTAGAAAGTGTCAGTTTGGGGCGATCCGCCTCGGGGTGGAATGTGACATGATGCGGCATTTTTATTACCGTTGAATTTTTGATACCAAATTTAAAGGATTTGTGTCCGGATAAGATCAGCGTTGAAAATTTGATGTTACTTTAATGTTGCTGTTTAATGTTAATGTTATTGATCATTTAAGGTTATCTTGACAAACAACACATCTGCGCCAGCTCTCCACTTTGTGCTGACCTTGTTCCCAAAAATCGTCTTAATTGTCTTATTGTGGTCATTTTCACCAGCTTCTCCTCGTTGTCCGTTTCACGAAAGCTATCGCGCACTTTAGCCTGAGCGTATTGTGTGCCCTTCACCCATCTATTCTACCCTCACTCAGGGCGAAGAATTTGCCACCACCCGGGCGGCTAACGCAGATGCTTCGTCACAGTTCTATTAGCAAATGTATTGTTAAGTTACTTCTATGGCTTGTTGCGACAAAGACTTTATCTGCCGCCTATGTCCGTGATGATTTGTTTTTACTAAAATTGGGTTAGCGCTGACACCGAATTATCTCTGTCCAATATAGCACAGTGCATAGTGTTTCTATCATAGAAATATATTCAAACACTTCAGTAACATTCTGGACTGAACATGCATTGGAAGATTGCAAATGACGACAGCTGTTCAGTTGCAGGACGCCAATCCATCAGTAACCAGTGGTGTAGCTATTTTCCCTTCTGCATACTTGAAGATGTCTGCCGCATAGAGAGTAAACTCAGTATGTGCGTTCGTTACATGCCGTTTGATCGCTTTTCGAATGAAAACCTATATGTATCTCCGTTTCATCCAACAGCACCCAGTTGAATCGCTGAAGCACGCAGCGAGTAAAGAAATTAATCAGAAATTAGAAAATACTCGTCTGTTATCCGTTGTCAGTCAAAATGATAACCATAAAGCATCTGGAAATGGAATGGACACATAAACATTATTTTTGACAACGAAGCTATTTTGTGCCCTGTATATAACTAGTATGAGAAATATGCATTTATAATACAAGCACCATTTCTATTTGATTGATTTGCACTTTTTGAATTTTTAGTGGGGAAAATATTTAAGAGAGCTAGCAAATTAGACTTTGTGTTGAAGTCGGTACAAATGGATCAGACAAGTTCTGACAACTGCTGATTGTGTGTTTATTGTCCAAGTGTCAGCGATCAATATCATAGCATCCATAGATGGGAGCGTACACACGAACTGTGGTGCCTGAGATAGAAAGCATGTCATTTTCATACTCGAAACGTCAGAGTACATTAAATAAAGCAAACATTTTTCAAATGTTACTGTGCATTCCACATATGAACTCAAACTGCTTGGCTAACTATATAAATATATAGTTTAGTATTCGACATCTATAATTTTCTTGTGAATAAGTTCGTCTCTTTAGTCTCCAAAATTGGCATTATAAATTGTCCAAGTAAAAACAGGTAATGAACAAAAGCAGCTCAAAGCACCAATACATGAAATGCCTACCCAAATATAGTGACTTGCATTTTTGTGTTATTACCAGGAAATACAAGCAATTTATTAACAGCTTTTTATACAATAAAGCAACAGTGCAATATAAAATATACGCGCTAAAAGCAATTCTATTTCTCCGGGTAAGATATTTTTTTACACAAACACAAGTAAACTTAATCGGTCTGAAACCTACCAAATATCTTGATTTTGATCTTTAACTAACAATTTGTTTGTAACTTTCTGTTATTTTCACGTTTAGAATAAACCAGGCTACTCACAAAACCTTAATATATAATGCCTTAATATCAGCCCTTGACGGCTAGTGTAATTTTTTTCGGTCCGGCATTTAATATTCTTTCATGCTTGAGTAGTACGGTGTGCAGGAATTGACACTTAGGTCTGTGGCAAAAATAACCACCCGTAGGCCGCTGGATGCACACATAACAACAGCCTAGTAAAAGCCTGACAAAAGAAAGGAGTAACGAATATATCGTACCGCAGTGAAGCAACAAGGAAACGAAAGGAAAAAGATAACTAAAGCAAAGCTCTTCGACCGCATACCTTTTAACTTGTTACTATGACGCCTGCCGACAAGCTGCGGTTAAAGTATTGTCCTAAGCGCAATACACGTCATTAAACTGCGTCATACTGAGCTATGTTTTCATGATGATGCATAGCTCTAGTCTTTTGGCTGCTGAGGTTCTGTCCAAAAACTTTTAACAAGTTGGTGAAAACGCTACCCTTAACTTACTTAAGTCATCCACTGATAGTACCTAGTTCATCAAGCGGTTAGTTTACTAGCGATATAGCCAAAATCTACCTAATCAGTAATCGTTTTTGTAACCTTGTGGATATCGAATATAAGTGTTAACTTCATGAACAAAGCAAATTAAATACGATTTTATATCAAACAAATTAATGAATTCGACTGTGGTGTGGAGAACAACGATGTATACGGATCTTACCGACTTTAATACAGTGAAGCTGTAAGTGAATATTGTATTATTTACAATCTGTTTGCAACAAAATATTTACATCATTATGATGTTTTGCGCTTCCAAATACACCCGTAAGAAAAACATGCAATTCCTATTAAATATTTAAGAAATATGGCTGCAAATGGTACGTGTATACACTAACACCATCCTAATACGCATGACAAGCGCATTAAGTTAAGTGACCAGCTAACCTGACGTTACACATAGTCGTGAGCGTTAGGCTAGCCTGCCACACAAATTGATTTGGATCAGCGTATTAGGCATTCAGATATACATACTGAGTGGCTATAACCGAAACAGTGCAAAGCAAGCTCGAAATGTTCTTCAAGCATAGCCTGGATCCAATTTAACTTTTCACAAATGTGAAGTACACGATGAAACGATGAATCCAAAAAGAGCGACGTTTAAATGTCTCAAATGAACAAATGAGCTATGCATTAAAGCCGAAAAAATGCAAGAGGATGGCGATTGCAACCGTCCAGAACATTGATAATACAACTGGTTGTACCAGATAAGGCAATATTTAGAAGCAGACTCCATAAGTAACATTGATCTAATTACCATAATCACAGTATTAATAAAGGAAATATCTCTCGTTGCGATATTTCAAGACGGGCCAAAGCAAAGCTAGAAACCAAAGACGTTAAAACTATACTTTTGCCTCAAACATTCACCAAAACCTCACGGAATAAAACGTATACCCCAATATTTCACCTCCGCATGTCATCCATGCAAGAACATGGATAATTTGGTACAACTTGATCTATACCACTACAGACACAGTTTCGCGCATAAGTAGAAAGATACGTATTATCTTTTTATTATGTATTGAGAACAAACTTGCTCACTTTGAGTTGAAGCGATATCAGCTGATTTGTGAGTGAAAGAGTGTAGTAAATTCCCTAAGTGTATGCTGCAATGATAATCGTAAACATAGAGAAATTTGACAGGCAGATTAAATAATTCGGAAATAAGCCCCAGGTACGAGTTTGGGCGAGGACCACAGATAAGTGTAGGATATTTGGTGGTGCGAATCGAAGATAAGATTTCATAAATGAGGGAGAACGTATCACAAGGTAGAGCATACTGAGCTCTTAACGGGAAAAACAACGCAAAATAACTGGAAATATGACCGAAACATTAAAAAATATGATCTCTATGTACAAGACAAATATATACAAATCCTTTGCCTAGTAGGCATTTAGCCAGTGGCACTAAGGCTTAATTCGTCGGCCTGTGGATCCGCATTTTAATGCAGGCAAACTATTAATACATTCGTCTACGTATTGTTAACAGTTTATCATTTAAAGAGGATAAATACGAGCTAGACAAAATATGCATATAATGCGAATGCGCATAGAACAATCAATCAGATATTTCAGATGAACAGCGGAAGAGTACGTCAGTATATAATAATACGTATGGAAATTAGGGCAGCGATACATTTGAGGTCTTTTAATATTCTTATTGTTGGATTTGTCTACATAAGATTCCAGCTTCAATTAATTGGCTCCTTTATTTACCAAGCATGCCTACATTTACAACAGGATGAATTTACTCCTGTCGGTATGCAGCTGTAATCATTGCTAACCGATTAAGCATAGTACTACTTTCAATGAGCAAACTAATTTATTACATGCAGGACGGCTTTAGGTTCAAGTGGCTGTAGGGTCGGCTTAGATTTCAAGCACGTCAATCACTCTGAATATATATGAATGAATCCGATTCTCGGTGGATAGCAGCAATGGATTACTTTGAAACTAACCCAGGCTTTCCTGACACCCACCACCGCAATGGACTGATTAGTAAATCCAACATGAATTCGAAAGTTGACACGTTATACTTTAATGTGCCGGAGTAAAAAACACATGACGGCGACGGAACTAGTTTGCCGGTATACGTACACATTTAGTTCTAGCGGGATGCTGCTCAGAATGGAGCGCTTATTATTTTGCCTTTACATCATTTGAAAAGCACGGTAAGAAAACGAAAACTGGTAGATGCATGCAATCCGTATCGTCTCCTCAGTACCATTAACAATATCTGGTATGCAACTATATACTTTAATATGCGTGTGACCGAATAAGCATGAGGTGCAAAATAAATGACGGAAGTTCCACCCCTATGTCCACGGCAGTCTTAAGCTGATAAATAATTGCTTTTGAATACACAGGGTCGACTTCATCTGGCTTATCGCAACGGTCTCGGAAAAACGGAGGAAGCGGGGATTAGGGTGACGTAATACAAGTGTGAACGCTGATCCGAGCTTTATCCGGTGACTCGTAATCAGTAGGTGTTTACCTGTTGAGGAAGCTGACGGCTTGCGCATACACGGAACATCAGTGGGACAGGGATGCTGGTCAATTTCACGTTGAACACACCTTGGCCCATGTTCCTTTATTCTGGAAGTCCAAGGCCGATGGGTTCTGCTTAGTAACTGTCTCCGCAGTCGCACACGATTTTGTAAATGCAGTGAGTTGACCCCAATCGGCTGAGCTTCTTTCGTTGGAAGCACCGATAAGTTACAAGTTCTATTGATGACCACAACCTGAGCAGCACAGTAAATTCCCTGCGTAGAAGAGATTAAGCGTTTCGTGGTTTTCAATACATTAAAGTCACCCTGGAAAGGCAACACGATATAGAACTTTTCTTGTCTAAACACAAGTTGTGCAATTCGAGGCCACCGGTGGAAACTTTTCAAACCGCGGCGGCTCCGTGTACGATCCGATCTAGTCCTATCCACCCGGGTAGTGAATGACTGGAACAGCTTGCCAGAGGCTGTCGTCGATGCGGAGACAGAGGGATGTTTCAAACGACGGTTAGATACTTACTCTCTGAGTGCGCAGGGATTCTGCTGCCCACAATACAACCATACCAATCTTCTGCTGAACCTTGTTCCTCAATGATTCTCAGTAACCCTCGCAATGTTCGGAAAGTGACGGAGCTGACAAAAGAACTTCCTTCTGCTCTCTACTATCAAATGAACTAATGTACAATGAAACAATAAGTGGCAAAGTTTAAGTGGATGAGTGCGTCATCCAACCGCCTTTTAAACGCTGATAGTATCGGTGCAGAGACGACCGATTCTGGGAGACCACTGCACGGGTGACAGACACGAACGGAAAATAACTTTTGCGGCACTCGAGACGGCTGTATTGTTCTGTGAGTTTCAATGAGTAGTCCCACGGGTTAATGTTAGATTTGAGTTGCAGTAAAGGGCGGCAAACATGATGTGGGTTTCGTGAATCAAATATGCCATAATAAGACAGCCTCGCAGTCTGCGATAGCTTCCACTGAGTACTCCGATCGTTGCAGCCTCACCTGGTAGGTAAGATTGCTCATTCCAATTACCTTCTTAGATGCTTGACTTTGTGGCTGCTCTAGTGCATTAAGATCGTGTTTCAGCCATGAAGACCAGGCTTGAATTACGTGTTCGACATGGAGCGAACATATGCACTGAGCATTTGTGGAGATATGGAGCTGTTTATTTGTCAAAACGCCAGTAGCTACAACCCAACGTGTTGGTTCCCAGACTTCGAAGCCTTTTCAGATTGCCTGGAG